TTTTCTTTCTTTTTTTTTTTTTTTTTTTTTTTTTAGTCTTCACATGAGAATATATTTGTTTGTTTGTTAATTGATTTTAGAAAGAGAGGAAGGGAGATTGAGAGAAACATCGATGAGAGAGAAAACATTGATTGGTTGCCTCCCATACATGCCCTGACCTGGAATCGAACCCCCAGCCTTTTGGTGTATGGGATGGTGCTCCAACCAGCTGAGCCACCCGGCCAGGCTTGCCTCTCTTCTTTACTCTGCCATTAGCTACCCACATGGTGGGAGGCCACGGGGAGAGCAGCGGCCTGGGAGAGTATAGTGGTGGCTGCCGAATGATGACCTGTCCCATGGAAGGACAGAGAACGTAGTAACTGTGGCACCCGAAGGCCATTCTGAGCCAGGATGTACTTCTCCTGGCCAGCTCAGATCCTTGAGCAGGCAGATTCTCAGTTTCGTCAGGTTGTAGCAGGAAGAAAATTAGGGAATCTCCTTTCATTTGCATGGTTGTAGTTTAAATAATGTTTCTTCTTCCAGTACATTATAAAAGCAAAGCCGAAAGATACTCAGAAAAAAATATAAAAATCACTCAATTCTATCATCAAGACAGATAGGTTAACATTCAGGGTTTTTTTTTTATGATACTTGAATTGTGTTACATGTTCAATTTTACATCTGGCTGCTTTTTTACTTAACACAGGTACATTTTCCTCTGACATAGTTTAAATGAAAGACAGAGGAACATTAAAAAATATACCAGCCTCTTCTCTCCAGTGGACTGGGCTTTCTCCAGTTTCCTCTGAAATCTCTGCTTTGCTGATCTCACGACTGACTGTCTGTCTCTTTCAGGACATCTGTCTTCCATTGTGTCTGTGTGCTTGGCAAGGAAGGGTCTTAGCAAGCCAAAGTGGAGTCAGGGTTACAGACCTGTAAGCCGTGATATTCATGTTCAGGGATGTGCCCCCTTGCAAGTGTTCTCATGGGAGTTAGGGACTGTGTAAAGGAAGGACAGGCTTGATCGTGTGAGGAGGGAACGTAAACCGGCTGCATGACCTCGGTCAACTTGCTTGAACTTGAACTAGTGTGGCTCCTCTCCCCTCACTCGGAGGCTGTCGGAGGAGCCAGCCGGTCAAGGCCAGGCTTCCAGCTTCAGAATCCTATGATTCCATATGAGGAGGGGCAATGTGAGAGGCTCCAGGTCAGAAAGAGCTGTGTCATGTGGCTGCGCGGGAGGAATATTAATACCCAGTGACGTAGTCATTTCAACATCCCTGTCGAGCAGTGAGAAAGAGGCGAGCTCTCCTTTGCATATCAGCAGTAATGACGAGTTACCTGCTTCCCAGCCGTTTCGGAACGTCCTTCATTTGCTTTAAATGACCTAATGGTTACAGGCATTTGGGTTGTATGGCACCTGAGTGGCCACCTGGATCTGCTTTGGATCAACAAGGAGTTTCTTTGTCCTATCCCTGACAGAGCCACTTAGATTTCTACTAATCTATAGTAATGGGCCAATAACAGGCCTAGGGGCAGCCCTTCTGCCGGTCCATTTACCAGAAGATTCTCTGTGAAGTGCCAGCCTACTTCTTTGTAACTTCTGCTCATTTCTTTTGGCCCAGATCGGCCTTGCCTCCGGGATGCCTGGGCCAGGCGCCCTGCCACACTCCTACCCTGCCCTCATCTCAGTGGGGTGTGTATGCTACTCTTCTAAGCGAGATCCCAAAATAGACGTTCTTGTTGATGGCGGGTCCTGGTCTACCTGGATTCCCTTTGATGTGACACCAGCAAACCCCAATGTCCATGTTTGTGGGAACACATGAGCATCCTCCTTGGTTGTGCCTGATATGAAACCATGAAAAAGCCCTTCCCGGCTGTTCCCTTCATGCTCTAAATAATGCGTGAAAGAGGGCTGTGTGGTTAAGAGCCACGGCAGTGGAGAGAGAGGCCATTGTGTTAGCCCAGGTGAGCCGTGAAGAAAATCACTTTTGTCCACAAGGCTCAGTTGGCGTTGCTGCCCCTGGTGCAGCTACTTTCAGTCTCTTCTGTATTGTTTCTCCTGATTCTTCCATTTGTGTACAAATCAAAAGATACTGGCCCCTGGCTCGAGCCATTGAGAATTTGCTTGATGGTGTTTGCAGCCTTCCTGTTTTTCCTTTCCAGCTCTTTTTCTCACCACGGGGATTCCTGCCTGACTTTGTCTCCTTCCAAATGCAGGTGGTGCTTCCCACATTTATTCTGGAGAAGCGGTCCTTGCTGGAGATGTACGCAGACTTCATGGCGCACCCGGACCTGCTGCTGGCCGTGACGGCGGCGGCCACGCCCGAGGAGAGAGTCATTTGCTTTGTGGAGTATTATCTCACCGCCTTCCATGAGGGCCGCAAGGGGGCCTTGGCCAAGAAGCCTTACAACCCCATCATTGGCGAGACATTTCACTGCTCCTGGGAAATCCCCAAGGACAGGGTCAAGCCAGCGAGGACTGCTCCCCCCTCTCCTCCCAGCCACGACCACCTGATTGCCGACGAGCCTTCGGAACGCTACAAGCTGAGGTTCGTGGCTGAGCAGGTGTCTCATCACCCACCCATCTCCTGCTTCTACTGTGAGTGCAAGGAGAAGAGACTTTGCATCAACACTCACGTGTGGACCAAAAGCAAGTTCATGGGCATGTCCGTGGGGGTCTCCATGATAGGAGAAGGTAAGCCACGCCATAAGGTTTGGTGGAGTTTGACTTACGCAGTGATGTTCGAATACCTGATAGATGATTGATGGTTTTGTTTGAGGGGTTCCTTGTTGTATTTTGTT